TGGCGGATCCTGTTCACCCTGCAGGAATGACATTAGGCTGAATGAAAAGTGAAGGGAGGGAAGGACTCCAGGCCCACCTCTTTGGTCCTCTTCCCTACGTTGAGGGACTCTTTGTTCATCTTCTCTGATGCAGACCTGGAATTTTGTGTAGAGCATACATTCTCAAGGTTTGACTGCCCAGAACTGGTAGTGTGCTTCAGATTACAGAAGTATTTTTTGTTTTTGTTTTAAGTATATTTAGTGCTCTTCATTGAACTGAAGCTGGATTCCATGCAGCCTTGATTCAGTCTCTTGGTTCCCATGTGAGGTGTGCCTCCTCCTTCTTTTTCTCCACCACCTAGGCAGGAATCATTTTTATCACTCTTTGGTTAAACCTGAGAGATAAATGAGGTAAGGGAGCCATAGATTCAGCCCTGGTGTTAAATGAACTTTGCCTATTCTTTTTCCACTTGATTAGATCAATAACTTTGTGTTTGTTTGTTTGTTTGTTTGTCTTAAAGGTTTATTTATTTATTAGAGAGAGAGCAGGGGGAGGTGCAGAGTTACAAGCAGACTCCCTGCTGAGCCCAGAGCCCTATGCGGGGTTCCACATGGGGTTTCACCGGGTGCTCAATTCCAGGACCCTGAGTTCAGGACCTGAGCTGAAGTCAGTCTCTTAACCAAGTTAAGCACCCAGGCGCTTCTAGATCATTCACGTTTGTACACAGATGTACCTTGCTATGGGCCCCTGCAGGTTAGAATAGAAGAACATCATCCTTGAGAGACAAAAATTGGAGAGGACATCGGTCAACATGAGGACTAGGACTTGTATCAAAACTCCCAGTCCATCTGTGTTCCAGTGGAGAAATCCCACAGTGTTTGAGGAACCCTCGAGGATGTTATGAAGTGAGGGCAGGGTACCTACAGGAGATGAGTGTTCCACGATTCTTGTACATCGGTTAACCTCCCATGTCTGGGTCTCTGGAAAAGCCTCTGTGATTGAGCTGATCAAAATGCAGAGGAGCCCGTGAAAGCCTGTGATCACACACGAAAGACATAGTTTACATATATTATTCCAGATTACAGTGTCTGGGTCCTATATGTGACTTGATATTTGAATAAAATGGATGTTTTCAGGTTTCCATTTAGATTATGATTTACTTAGTTGTTGTTTTAGACATTTATTTCATAGCACTTGTTATGCTTCCTTTGAAGAACCTTAGGCACCTGACACCAGTGTGAGTCATTACAGGTTCATGCACTTCATTTCCGCTGTCCTGTATGTCACATTCCTCCGCTATAAAATTAGTAATTTTTCTCAGTTATCATCACATACCTTAGGAGGATTTACTGAAAGACGTGCATAAATCATCTCATTTAATCTGGAAACTGCCTTCTGTTTCACTTTGTAGTCTGCTTTCAAAGTGAAGTCTCTCTCCTGAGACCAACTCTTCCTTAGCATTTCTCTGTTGCTCTGTAGAAGGAAAGCATGCATCATCTATGTTCCACTGCCCTAAAATTTTAAAATATAACTTGGCACAAAGGTAAATGAGCAAAAACTTTCAATACGATAAGAGACTCCAAAACAATAGGTATTTCATTTCTATCATTGTGTGTTTGTCTCTGTGGTGTGTTTGCAAGACACAAGACCCTTCATCCACAAATAGATTTGTAAATTTCATGCCCCTGAAGACATTTCTTAGATTCAAGGACAATAAAAACATTTTGATCTATCATTTTTATTCTTTTTATTTTTATTTGTAATTTTTTCTGTGTTATGTTTTAGCCTTACCTCTTTTAGTTGATATGTTCTGTGATTTAATCATGTTTGCATTCCCATTGTCACTTTGCAACCTACTGTGAACCTTCTTTTAGAGGTGCCTCTGTATACTGGTCTCTGTTCCTCTTACACGAATTTAACATCAGACAATCTGGGTAAAACTCAGGCTCTACTATTACTGAAGTTTTGCCAAGATATTTTTTTGAAAGATGAAGAACAGTTCTACTCTTCACATAGATTAGTGTGGATTCATGGGTGAATTTTTGAAAAAATGTTAGAATGTTACGTAGTGGATAGTATATGTTCAAGAAGAATTGTTTCTGTTCTTGATGTTAGAAGTTGTAATTTCTACAATATCCTCTAAGTTCAAAATCATTCATGATTTCCTCTATTTTTTTTTTTAATTTAATATTGTGACTCTTGAACTAAGATGTTGGCATCACTTGCTAGCTTGTGGGGAATATGGAAACTCAGACCCAACCTAGAAATCCAATTCAGAATATGAATTTTAACAAGATCTTCAGTTAATTGTCATACACATTAACACACTCTTCCATTAGTCTATCCCTATCTTTATAGTTCATTATTTTGTTAACTGTGTCTTTGTAATATGTTTTAAATCAGGAACTGAGGTGCCACCAATGAACTCTTCATTTTCAAGATTGTTCTGGGTATGTGTTATCCTGTGACATCCATATGAATGTTAGGAGGGGTTTTGTTCTTTCTGCCAAAATTGGCATTTGGATTTTGCTAGAGACTGCATTACTTTCAATGTTATGTTATTATTTATTCTGATCTGTATTTTGTTTATTTCTGATTTTTCTTTGTTATTTCCTTCCTCATCTAAATATCAGTGATGTTCCTTCTTTTCTAGTTCGTGGTGGTATAATATTAAGTTGCTTATTTGAACCTTTTTTTTTTTAAGATTTTATTTATTTATTTATTTAAGACTTTATTTATTTGACAGAGAGAGACACAGTGAGAGAGGGAACACAAGCAGGGGGAGTGGGAGAGGGAGAAGCAGGCTTCCCACTGAGCAGGGAGCCCGATGCGGGGCTTGACCCCAGGACCCTGGGATCATGACCTGAGCCGAAGCCAGACGCTTAACGACTGAGCCACCCAGGCGCCCCAGTCCCAGATATTTATTTTATATAAAGGAACTGTGAGCATATTTCATAATTTCTGTGTTTATTTTTTTATTTATTTTTTTAAGATTTTATTTATTTATTTGACAGACAGAGTTAGCGGGAGCAGGAACACAAGCAGGGGGAGTGGTAGAGGGAGAAGCAGGCCTCCCGCTGAGCAGGGAGCCCAATGTGGGGCTCCATCCCAGGACCCTGGGATCATGACCTGAGCCGAAGGCAGACGCTTAACGACTGAGCCACCCAGGCACCCCTGAACCTTTTTTCTTAAGCATTTAAGCATTAGAAAATTAAAAAATGGAATGTCTACTAGGGAAAATTGGCAGAAATAAACAATATAAGTGATGATAAAAAAGTGAAATAGCATAAAAATGAAAATAAGGATTCTATAGGGTTTTCTTTAAGATTTTATTTATTTATTTGACAGAGAGAGACACAGCGAGAGAGGGAACACAAGCAGGGGGAGCAGGAGAGGGAGAAGCAGGCTTCCCGCGTAGCATGGAGCCCGATGCAGGGCTCAATCCCAGGACCCTGGGATCATGACTTGAGCCAAAGGCAGACGCTTAACAACTGAGCCACCTAGGTGCCCCTCTTTAGGGTTTTCTATTGATCATGTCATCTGTGAACAGAGATAGTTTTCTTTCTCTTTTCAATTGGATTCCTTTTATGTATTTTTTCTTGCCTAATTGTTTTGACTAGAATATCTAGTACTATGTTGATTTGGAAGTGAGGAAGTCTCTTTATTACCTTGTTTCTGATTATAGAGTTTTCAGTCTTTTACTATCAAATATGTTAGATATCTGCTTTTTGTACATATATGGCCTTTATTAGGTGGGGTTAGTTTCTTTCTATGCCTACTATTGAGTATTTTTAATCATGAAATGGTGTCCGTATGCTCACATTCTTGTTCTACATGAATTAATATGATGTCATGTTTGATCTTCATCCTATTAATGTGCAATCTTAAGTTTGTAGATTTCGGCATATTGAAACACTTGAATTCCAGGAAGAATTCTCACTTGATTATGTTGTAAAATAGTAAAATGTGCTTTTGATTCAGTCTGCTTCCTTTTATTGTGGCATTTACATGGCTGTTCTTTAATTTAGCAATTTGTAGTTTTCTTTGCTCACAGTATCTTCCTTGGCTTTGTTAACATGGTAATGCTACTGTCACAGAGTGTTTGATAATTTCCCTTCTCTTCACCTCTTGGAAATGCTGGAGGGATTTGACGTACTTTCTCATTAAATATTTCTTTGAATTATCCAGTGAATTCATCTGGCACAGGACTTTTTCTTTGTCGGGCTTTTTTTTTTTTTTTTTTCCCTTCTTTTTCAATCTACTCAGTAGTGAGAGATCAGGGTTTTTGTTTTGTTTTGTTTTAAATTCATGATGGAGTCAGGTAGGTTGTACTTTTTAAAAAAATTTATACACCTTGTTTGGTTATCTGTCTCTGGGCATATAATTATCCATCATCACCTCTTATAATTTTTTTATTTCTATGGTATCGGTTATACTGTGTCTGCTTTCATTTCACTTCTGATTTTAGTTGGTCTTCTCTCTTTCATTCTTACTTGATTTAGTTAAAAGTATGTCAATGCTTTTGCTCTTTTCTGAAAACCAGCTCTTCCTATTGTTGATATTTTTCTGTTTTTGCTATATCTTATTTTATTTGTATTTTAAGTTTAAATTTAGTTCCTGCTGCTAATTTTAGGCTCAATTGGTACTTTTCCTGATTTTTTAGGTATAGGAAAGTGATGTGTGCTCCAGCATGACAATATTACAGAACTGTATGTTAGGCTATGTTACGGGTATATGTCTGCAAGTTTATGTGTCGCTGGAGGAATGAAGTCCTGATGATTCCTTCTCGGCCATCTTGCTGAAGTTCTCTGATTGATTTTATTTTTCCATATTAGAAGTTTTCATTATATTCATCTGAGAATAGTAAGTGGAATGATTTTACTTTTCTCTTATTCAATATCTTTCAGCTGTATCTTCACATGGCACCCAGAATTTCCTGCCAAAGCTGTGCATAGAAGCTTCTTTCCAAAACGTGGCAGTGGGTAGATATAAACATAGTGCCCTTGACAATTTACACTTAATGATAGACTGGAAAAATGATGGGGAGAGTGAAGGGCATGAAAGATATCATGAAGGACATATCCAAACTGAGACAACTGTCCATAATATGAATCTCACTACCCAAAATGATGAAGGACATAAAACACTTTGGAAAACATCCCTTCTTAATCCTGCTTCTTCTGCAAAGCAGTTTGTTTCTGTAAGCAAGGGCTTAAATCAAATGGTCAAACATACATATCTGGAGAACGAAAAGTTGGAAAATCTGGAAAGTTATCTAGTTCATGCTGAAAATAATTATTTGAACCATTTTGAAAGTAGGATTGGATTGACATTTGAGTCAAATATTTCTGAAAATCAGAGATTTAAAAATGAAGAACAAAGTGCTATGTGGGATCCATTTGAGAGGTCCTTCACCAAGGAGTTGACTCTACAAAATTACCAGAACATATTCAATGAAAACAGAATTGCTCAATGTAGCGAATCTGCAAAAAAATTTAACCAGTGTTCAAATGTTTATAAACATGTGAGGACTCATTTTCCAGAGAACCATTTTAATTTTGATAAATTTGAGGAAGTCTTTTATCAAAGCTCCAACCTTATTATATATAAGAGTATCCCTTTGGGAGAGAATCCTTATAAATATAATGAATATGGGAAATCTGTTAACCAGTCCTCCAATGTTGGTGATTATCAGAGAATTCACATGGAAAAAAACTCATACAGATGTAATAAACCTGGGGACATGTTTAGCCAAGCATCAGGACTAAACATACATAACACAGCCGCTACTGGACAGAAAACTTACATTTGTGAAGAATGTGGCAAAGCCTTTGACTGGCACTCAACACTATCTCAACATCAACCAATGCCTACTAGAGAGAAACCTTACCAATGTAAAGAATGTGGCAAGGCCTTTAACCAGCTCTCAATGCTTACTCGACATCAGAGAATTCATACTGGAGAGAAACCTTACCAATGTGAAGAATGTGGCAAGGCCTTTAACCAGCACTCAAACCTTACTCAGCATCACAGAATTCATACTGGAGAGAAACCATACAAATGTAAAGAATGTGGCCAGGCCTTTAACCATCACTCAAGCCTTACTCAACATCACAGAATTCACAGTGGTGAAAAACCTTACATATGTAAAGAATGTGGCAAGGCCTTTAACCTGCATTCAAACCTTACTCAACATCACAGAATTCATACTGGAGAGAAACCTTACAT